TATTTAATGACCTTGTAAAATAAATCTACAAAAAAATGTATGCAATATATTATAGGTTTAAAAGCTCCCCAGTCTACCAAACTATATATAATACTTAATAACATATATTAAGTACTAACCTTTAAAATCATTGATTAAAATTTGGGACACTAAAATATATATATTTTTCTGAAACCTATGACTACGTATTATCATTATTGAAAAATCAGTTAAATTACAAAATATAATAATAATGTTTCTTACAAATGATGCTGTAGATAGATTATTATCAATTAATAAACAATTTTGCGTAACGGATGATCGTTACACGTTTAAACAAATGAAAAAAACTAGAAATTCGTTTGTTGATAATATAGTCTCTCTATAGGGAAATCGACATCAGAAAAACATTTCCCTCGAGACATAAAAAACGAAATATTATCTACCTACTGATTATATATGTGTACTGTGTGTGTTCAAATCTGTACAAAATAAGTACCTATAAGTATATACTTATATACCTATAGTGTTTATATTGGAACTAAGTAAATGTAGAAAAAATAAAAAACCCACAAATATCGATGCCTGTTGTCTTTTTATTTCATCACTATTTATACTTACACCATTGATACGAATCAATAGGAAAATCGAATAAATACACGAGCGAGGAGAACGATGTATATTATTCTTACAAAACGTACCTATTACAAGGTACCTATGTATCTTATATTAAAATAAAATACATATTATACAACATAATAATCATCCGGAAAAATATCAAACACACGATGGGTCACAGTAGCAGATCCAGACGTCACCCAAGGGGGGGGGGAGCGAATTTTCAAAAATTAAATTATCTTTTTGTTTAGCCAAATATTATAAAAAATAAAATTAAAAATACAGCCCAGGGGGCTAACTCTCCTTCGCCGCCCTTGCATCCATCATTTCGATGGGATAAGTTAACGTACCTACGAGATAGACACAGGCACGAGCGTTCGCGAAAAACAACTTTTCCGCAATAACTTCAACAAAATAATAACAATTCCCACCGAGTTTGTCCACGCGCGCCATATGTTCACTTTTCTCTCTCTTGTCTCCATATTATGGGGTTGAGAGACACTCAATAAAATAATATATATGTTATATAAATATAACGAAATTGCTGAACAACGGTAAAGTTTGACGGGTCCGAGAATGGGTGAAGAATTTGGGTGTTATAATACATTATTATTATTATTATTATTATTATTAAGTGCTGTATAGTGATGGCGAGTGCAGTCGACGAGAAGAATACATATTATACATATATATATATATAGGTATTATATATTATATTATATATAATAATATATATTGCGTATATAATAATGTACTCACCAAATGTGCGGGGAGATACGTTTTTTTTCTTATTATCCTTATATTTTATTATTTTCGGAAGTACAAAAGAACTCCACGCATTCCTAGACGTAAATATAATAGATGACTGATCTCGGCGGCGGCGACGACGACGAGATGAACGATATATGTCACGCATGCAGAGGAAAAAATAGAAATAATAAACAATATTATATTATATTATATTACATTATATTACACACACGACTCGCGAACTAACGTGCACAAAAGAAACACCACACACGCACACAAGTACAGGCGTACTGTCGACCGGAGAGAAGAACCTTATACCAAGTACCTGTGGCATGCTTGCACGGCATTGGTGACTGGAGAATCAGCGCGGCTCGCGTATACGACGGTCGCCGCGGCTACCACTACTATTACTATTTACTACTACTACTATTACTATTTACTACTACTACTACTACTACTCCTACCACCACAACCACCACCACAATATAATCACCACCGTCGACGCCACTCGCTAGGATTGCCGCTACAACTCACTGCCGCCACTGCCTCAGCGGCACACTACACCTACCTACATAATGTAATATAATATGGTCTCGCGATGATACTTATTATATACATATATACATTATACAAGCTAGATGAAGGCACGGTTTACCGATAACGGGATAAACAAATAAGAATAATAATATGAAAAATTCACCGGTTTCGCGCCATCGACCGCACATTAAATGCTTGTGCTGCTATCTCTACACACGCGCACACAACCTGGGGTGTGTAATTCCATCATTGGCAATATCGTTAGCAATTCACGGTTCATGAAAACCGTCCGAAATTATCGTTTCGATTCACTCGCTAGATTATAATATATTTATATACCTACATAATATTTATAATATATTATAATGATAATATAATATGATGACGAACAACAAGGCCATCCATTTATCTGCATAGGCCTCACTCATTTCCCTGATCGGTTCAAGTGATTTTGAAAAAAATAAAATTATCTAATTTTTTACTTTTTCTCCATTACAAAGATTTTTTATGACAACCTACATTTTTAATTTCACAATTGGGAACAGAAAACTGCTAAAAAAAAGTAATGTATAAATATTGAATATTCGACAAACAGATTTTTTTTATTAATAATAATATTATAATCAAAGGTTGATGAGCAATTAGTGGATCAAAAATCTAGCTAGGTATTCCCTGTAATTTTATAATCCATTCATCTAAAATCTAAGCTACTCATTAATAAAAAAAAAAATAAAAAACAATTTATTTCAACACATCAGTATATTTTTCAAAATAATTATCTTCCCGTTATTAAATTTAAAGTATAGGTAGTTATTAAAATACCTAAAGAATAGAAGACAAATTAATTTTTTTTATAAATGGTAGGTAGTATTATATAAATAAGTATTTCTCGTACAAAGTATATGAATGAAAACACCTTTTTCAAAATTACAAAGATCTACAGGCCAATTTGTTTATTCTGTTAAATTTTGATTCAGTTTACAATATTATATACAAGGATTCCCGCAAGGATTTACCAATTGAAACATCTCCTGAGATAATAAATTAATATATCATGTATCTGTTTTATTTATTAGACTCACAGAGACTACACATATTTAATTTAATATTTTGATAAAAAAAGTTTTTATTTTTAATTTTTGAAACAATTGAAGATGCCATTTTATAGAGGTTATTTTTGTGAGAATTTTGACTTTTCAACATTTTATTATCATTAATCTCATGATTTTTAATAATTTTTAGATTCTGAGCGGAGCGATGAATGTATTGGTTTTACAATGATGTATGTTTTTTTTTATATTTTTATATTTGTGTCTGTCATCACGTTTTAAGACAGTAAAAGTGCTTGGATTTTCTTCATCAGTAGCTTTTCTGATAGGAAAGTGAATCTAGTTGGTACTTTGGGGGGTCAAAAGTAAACATTTTCCAGAAGTTTTCACAAGCGCCGGGAAAAACAACATAAAAATTAAGGAAAAACGGGAATTTTTACGCAAAATTGGTTTTCCAAAAAATCGATTTTGGTTATTGGTGTAACTCTAAAACAAATGAACGTATATACATGAAATTTTCACTGGTTGTTTATATTTGCATTTTCTATACACCATAACATTTTCAAAATATTTTGATTTATTTTGAACTGTTTAGGGACATTTTCATTTTCCATTTTTTTTTAGTTTTTTTTCTAAAAATATCAATAAAATTTTATTTGTTGGTTGCGAAAGCTTGAAAATTTAATAGAAGGCTCCTAATATGTTGTTTCAAAGGCAGATGAAAAATATTAAAAATCCTTAGTCACAATTTTTTTTATAAGCATTTAAAGTTCATAAATTGACAAAATATGGAAAAATCACGAAAATTAGCAAATTATTTTGAGTTAAGAATTCGTAAAAATTTTTCTTTTTAAATCTAAGATTTGAAAATGAAACACAAGATTCCTTATAAGATTATCTACCTTTATCAATAAAAAAATCTCTACCGGACAGTCAAATTAAATTTTTATGAGCGTTTGAAATTCAAATTTTTACAACATTGGATTTTCACTCGATTACTCATGTAGCGATTTCCTTATTTTGTTGCAATTCAAAAACGAACAACTGTAGATACATGAAAATTTCACTGAATGTTTAAATTAGCATTTTCTATACACCATACAATTTTGAAAATATTTTGACTCTTTTTGAGCTGTTAATGGACATTTACAGCTTTCAATTTTTTTTAGTTTTTTTTTCTATAAATATCAATAAAGTTTTATCTGTTGGGCCAAAAAGTGTAAAAATTTAATACAAGGCTCCTGATATATTGTTACAATAGCAGTTGAAAAATATTAAAAATACATAGGCACAGTTTTTTTTTATAAGCATTTAAAGATCAAATTTTGACAAAATTTATCAAAATCTCGAAAATTATCAATCATTGTAATTAATAAATTATAAAATGTTCAGTTTTTATAGCTAAGGATTACAAATTCAACACAAAGGTTCTCATAAATAGTTCATACTATAACCAAAAAATCTAAAAAATATATGAACACACTTATTTTTTACAGTCATTTTTAATTCAAATTTGGACGAAATTACATATTAAAAAACCTAGAATAACTATTTTAGTTATTTTGTTGTGATTGAATAATATTATTCGTGGGTACTTGAAACTTCTAAAGTGTACTATTATATATCTATGGTAGTATCATGGTTTTTGTTGATGTATAACGCGTTACCAGTGCCTAATGGATATTGTGATATGATTAATTTGGAATTTATTATAGGTACCTATTATAGGTCAATTTTTTATTTAATACCATAGATTTGTATATAATATGTCTTATACATAGACTGACATACCGTCTCCGCTCAGAATCGTTTTTCTTATACAATGATATTATATCGTTGAATTCAAATTTAATATCATCATATACAGTGACCCACTTGTAACCTACTGTACAGCAGAGCGACACCCACTTGCCCACCTTTTTTTAGTTTATAGATAAAACGGCAAAAAAACCGGTTTTTGTCAGGGCCGCGAGTCTCCCTCTACGGCTAATGGGTATATCCTCACGGGACACCTTTAATATAGTAATTTGACAACCCTAAATTGCTAACTTTAAATTTTTTAAATTCCTAACTAGAATACTGTAGATGGGCGAACGACAACTATATAAATATATAATACATGAATATAATATTCATGCAACACACGACAGGGGACTACTAGTCCCGGAATAGTCGGTAATAAAATAATATCACAGGTATTAACTAAAAAGAAAAAACCCAATAGTCTTTCTTACTTATTTGTTCTTGTGAACAATTTACCACGGATAACGCTATACATTTCAGACGTATAAGTACAGACGTTCAATCGTCATTGATTGTATGTCTATCGATAGGTATGATTATTGTGCATTCGCAGCAGGAAGTGTCCCGTTCCCCTCGAAATGGAATACTCGTCCAGAATTTTTACTGCTGTTCATTATAATCATAATTCACAATATTTTGGTATAGGTACCTAACGTTTATTATGTATGCATTGCCGCGTCGTGTAGTAGTACGACTACTTTCTACAAAATTAGTATAAACGTAGGTGTTAAATACGGCAATATGTTATACTATATATTTTTTTTTTTTTATTGATCTTTAAGCCCGGCAACTATGGCCATTAGCTGTTTTTGTTTGTTTGTAGGGGGGGGGTGCTGTTGGTTTATAAACACTTGTGTGTAGTTTTGGCATATTTTTTAGTGGGCACCCGTGGGTATCTGCCATATCCGGGTGGGGGATGGCGGCACTTCTCTCCGGATACCGTGACTTACCCGAAGAAAAATGCTGCCCAGTGCCCCTGAACCGAGGTTTGAACCAGCATCGGTGTGCGTCACAACCGACGGCTTATTCCGATCGGCCACTCCGTCCCCCATTATACTACATTAATACCTATTACCTATGTCCCTACATTATTTATTTTGTGATTTACGATACATTTATTATTTAGTAAATACAGAGTATAATTTATAGATAGATTGTTGGGGGATTGTGATTTATTAAAATATGAAATATATATCGGGACGTATTTTTAATTGAATCAATGTAATTGTATAACTAATTCACATAAATATCGAGACTAATTATTGTCATACAGTATAAAGAAATAAACAAAAATTTAAAAAATTTGAAAAATTATAATATTGCAAACTTGATGTATTTGCAGAACGTTTTTATATAACAGCCATAATACATAACCACGTACAAAGATTGTAATTTAAATGTTTACTTCCAACATAATACTTAAAACGACTACAACTCAAGGGGCTTGTCTTTGTTTATCCTATGCATAGTACTAAAGAAGTAATACTTCAAATGTTTATTTCAGACAAAAACCTATTAGAATTTTAAAAAAGAAAGGGGACTTTTTAAGTCAGGCTGTCAAGAGGTTTTTAGAACGAATATTACAAAATAATTTACCTACTACAAACAAATATTGTTGAACTTATTTTTTTAATTTAAAAAAAAAATATCGAATGTTAGATGGTAACAATACTACTCTGGTATTTTTCTCATACTAACCCAAACGGGAAGTAAGAAGAACTAGGCATTTTAATTTTGATTTAATCTAACACTAATCGAACTTTTACCAAGCGAGAAATAAACGCAATGTTTTTTCACTGAAAAAATTCGCTTTGGAAGTGAAAGAATTCTATTTTATGCTAAGGGCATACTGAAGGGATCCAATATGGCAATTTAAATGATTATTGCACCGCCTTAGACGGGATGCCTCAAGACTTAATTGTTTAAATAACGCTTAGTATTAAGCAACCAAGATAAATTTGTCATGAATACCTGGTATATGACCTATGTCTTAATTATTATCATGTAAAAATGGCAAAAAAAAAATAAAACCATCTGTAATTATCCGTAGATGTAGATAGCTGCATATAGACTAGGAATATCTTATTACTTAACAAACAAAAAAATAAAATGATTATTAACGAAAAATAAAAAATAAAAAACCAATATGTTCAAGCTGTGTTCAATCAACATAATGTCTGTAAGTACCACTTCTGATCCTGAATTTTTTACACAAATGATTTTCTTTACAAGAAAACTTTGAAAGATTCTTAAGCTACATATCTTAATCTTAAACAAAATGGGTTGGAACATTTTTTAATAATAATTATTCTTGTTTTATGTTCTTAGATATTGTTGATAATGTTGCCTATATATAACTCCTTCAAATCATCATATTGTAACATCTTATTGTGACTATTTAATAATATAATAATTATTAATACGTAAATAATTTGAATAAAATGATGACATGCCATTTTATTATTAAATATCACTTACTACGTTTATATGATGGCGTTAAAACGGTTTAAGGCTAAAACGCTTGTGCTATGTAGTTTAAAAATTTAAAACAGTTTTATTTGCTGAAACGTTTATATGTACATCTAATAAACCGGTTTAAGCAAATAAAACGGTTTTAAATTCTTAAACTACATAGCGCGAGCGTTTTAACTTTCAAAACGGTTTAGCCTTAAACCGTTTTAACGCCATCATATAAACGTAGTAACTGATTTGTATTAATTGATAAAGTAGTTCACTATGTTTGGTTTATACACAACGTAATATTATATTTCTTCCTTCTTTATTGGTACTAATAATTATTTTTGAATGAAATCTTTCTTACAGACTACTAATATATACTATAGATTATATAAATGTGACTAAGTATATTAAATACAATTAATAACTATATAAATTACCTGGGCCACATTTTCGAAATGTTCATGACTTTTTTGGTACACCCGAGCTTTTTGTAATGTCCGTCCGATTCCAGTATTCTTTCTTAAAAACACTTCTCCATGGTTAGACAACCAGTCAAGAACCTAAAAATGAATTGGTTAAATATAATATATAGGAAGTCTATAAATAAAAATGATTATGACATATCAATTATCAATACTTGTTTGACATCTTCTTGAAATAATCGTAATGCTAATTTCTGATGAAGTCTTATTTTCTTAGAATGCCATCGATGTTCTAAACTTCTATGATGGTTTAAAATTTGGTGTATGACAGCAAGCACATGACTGGCGCCTTCCGAATAATCAGCTGCAGCTTGTTGGTGGTTTGTTCCAACTGTCTTAGTTGTGTTGGCTGAAGAATCTGATCCACTATCCAGCTATAAGTAAATGAGAAATCAGGCTTGTACATTACAATCATGTTAGAGATAAAACTAGTAGAAGCTATAAGCCAATTTCATGCGTGTTAAAGAAAAGCTTACATGTTTATGATGTTGTTCAGCGACTGGTGTCAAGTCACTTTGGTTACACACCTGAACCAAATGGTCCAACTGATAGAGCAGCTTCTTACTCGTGCTATGAACCTAACCCAAACCAAAAAAATCCCAACATGCGTTTTAGATAAATATTAAAATATTTGCTTATAATGATGGTTAATTATTTTAAATGCCCATAAACCAAAGTGTTGTGATACAAGGAATAAACCATAGCCAATGCAAAAGTTGCCACCAAATTCTAACCAAGGCTTTAGTCATTTTGTTTAGGGATTCTGTGTTATCAAAGAATCCATAAAATTGTACAACAATGGAACATACATTTTTTTGTGGAGAATTGCCATAATGTATTAATGGTACATTGCTTGGAGGAGTTGGAAAACTTTCGCAGACTTGTACCAAAGTATCCAGCCCGTTTAATAGGCTTTGATACCCATTATAAACCTATATTTATCTCAAAAATTTAAGTTTTGTCAAGGGAAAAATATAATAAATAATTTACCTCAGTATATGCTTGGCACATGAGTTCGTATAAGTTCTGATGTTGGTGAATTGAATTTTCTAACACCATAATTTCATTTGGTATGGTTACATTTTCAATGGCCTCATCCCAGTTTGGTACATTTTCCACATACTAAAATAATATAAAATTGTTCAAATACATGTTTATGTTTTAAGATAGAAATTCATACCTGCTGAGCTTTATGATGAAATAAAACAGACAATGCTAACACTGATGTCCGTTCATCTAATCCAGCTGCAAACTGCTTCCATGTTCTATCTAATCGTTGAGCAACTGTTCTTATATGATTAGAAGCATAATGTCCAGATTCTATCATACGATGTGCAACAGCTACAATACGATTTATGTTCACATACACATTCTATAAGCAATCAATATGGTTAAAAATGTTTTTAATTAACTAAACATTAAAAATTATACCATAGAACTCATTGTGAAATGATTGTGCTCTTCTTGTATATCTTTGGCAAGTTGATAGGAATGTCCAATTTCAACATAACTCATCAAAAATACATCCCGATTATGGCAAATCCAATCAAACATCTAATTAAATGATTATGTTACATTATATAATACAACAAATATTAAGTATATAAGTCTATGACATATACTTAGATCCATATCAACATAAAAAAAACACAGAATATATTAATATAAAAATACCTTTTCACAATCTTGTTCAAACAGTCTCAACTGGAAACATTGATCTAATTTAAGTTTTTTATGCTGCCATAGCTGTAACACATGTTTATGAGACGTTCTAATGGTATCCAATTGTTGAAGTATTTGTGGTACAGATGCTTGTAAATCTGGATTACTAATACCATTGCTAGCTTCACTATCACGTCCAGAATAACCAGAATCATAACCACTATTATTGTCTCCAGATAATCTAACAATGTATTAATAATAATTAATAAATATATTTGAATAAGTTTGCTTGTCTAACGAGATTACCTCTGCAAAAGTTGTTGACCAGCTAAATCCATGTCCTCTACAGGGGTCTTAAGTACTTTCTTTTTCATGTCGGTATGAAAGTCAAGGGCAAGTTTGGCACCAGCAATATCATCTCTACAATCATTACGACTCAAATCTTCTTGTAAATCATCTAATCGATCTAACAAATCAGCAGCTTGCCACATAAATTCTTCAATACTCTGTAAATAATAAAAATAATGTACAATAGTAAATAATCACATAAAACAAAAGGCTCTTAAATTAATTATACTTACAAGTCTAATATCAATCCATTGTGCGTGATCATAGTGTAGAGATCCATCGAGATCTGACGTAAGTTGTGTAGAATCTATAAACTTTGATAAGCCTTCTAAATTAACCATCGTTGTCTACAAAAAAATCCATAAGAGAGATTACATTATTTTTTACAAGTCATATTAAAATGTATAAAGTTATTACTTCGAATTTATATTTATGACTAGCCATGCTGGTTCGTTGTTTATGCCAAAAATTATCAGGTTTTACAACATATACAGCATACACATGGTTCCCATTGCCTCCAGCACACCAATCTTGGAGGGCTTTCAAGATTGGTTTGACCGATGACCAGCCAGAACCACCTCGCATATCAATCACAGCTACTAAACCTGATTCTTTAGCTTCACATCTAAGAATTAAATAAATACATTAACTTTACTTAACAAACAAACTAATATACAATTCAATTCAATAATTTGACATTTATATATTCTAGGAGAGATATAAAACTAAATTTTTAAAATGATGTGTTTACCTTTCACAAAATTCTTTAATTTATTAAAAACCAGATATACCTACTAACTATAGTTTATTCTGTAGGTAGGTAGTAGGTACTATTATTAGTTATTATATATTTATGTATTTGTGTGTAGTGATAACAATTAAAATGTTTGGAAAATTTCTTATAAAAATTTTACACATTTTAATTAAATTTATAAATCTTATAAATTCATAATTAATATGCATGGGGTATGGTAATATGTGCACAATACACATGCATGTGATGTCTCCGTATAAACGTTAAAAAGAATCATAGTAAATTTTTGTTCAGAAGAATTAGTTTTGTGTTGTTAGTTATTAAATATTAGAAATAGGGAATTCGCATATGAATATTACATAATTTAAAGGTAAGAATTATACATTTTAGAATATCTTGACTGTCTTTACTGAGTGAGTTGTAACTCTATAACATAATTTGTCTTACATAGTACTAGGTACCTGTCAAATATTACAATTCACTTTGAAATGTAAATATCAATAAAAGCATATATTTTGAAATGCTTTAGATAATATTATTATATTTTATACTTTATTTTGATAATAGGGAAATTCACTTACATGAAAAGTAACAACACAAAATGGATTCTGCTGAACTAAAATGTACTATGACGTAGCAGTGGCAGATCCAGTGCTTAATTTTTTTTTTTGGAGTGGGGTAAGGTACAAAAAGTCCCAAAAATTGGCTAAACACAGTGTAAAACAGAGGAAAACTTCGGCGATTGGAGGGGGGATATTCCCCCCTGGACCCGCCACTGTGACGTAGTATACTTCCTGCCTATAGTTACACCTTTGTAAGACAAAGACAACATAGTATAATGTCATCTTAAGTATAATTCAACCCAATTTGAATGCATGGATTATGTATTATATAATATATTCAATTTTAATCTTTAGAACTTTTAAATATACAAATATCTTATAAACCATTTTTTTCTTAATCTTTAGGAGTTGGGGAGTTAGTGATCTTGACTATTTTAACAAGATTTTATTTGGATTTTACTAACTTACCAATATACACTTTAGATTATATTGTATGAAACTATAATTAACTCTGAATAACAATCTTAATAACATTATATAACGTCAAGCCCGGATTAAGGATCAATTGGGCCCCCGGGACACCTTACACTTAGTGGGCCCCCTTTTAACTTTAACTTCAAAACAATTGTATCATTATATATTATTGTAAATTTATATAATTTTTTACCATACAAAAAATATACAGGGTGTATCATGTGTCATTGTAGGCGGTTTTGTTTTTAACAATTATGAATCGATGATATGGAATTTTGTTAAAACAAAAAAAGACGTTTCTTTATTTTTAACAGGCAATTTTTTACATTTTCAAAATTTTTAAACACGCAGTTGTACCAATAATAAAATCGACTTTATTTTTTCAAATGGTAACCACTATATTTTTTTATGGATTCTGGTAAAACATTTATCCTGAATAATTTGATAGTCAAATGATCAATTTTGGTTCGATAGGTTATTAACTATGGTAGTCTAAAGTTTAGTTTAATATGCATTAATACTTTTAACTGAAATACCTAATATACAAGAGCTAAATATTTTTTTCTTATAACTACCTTTTGGTTAAATCGGTAATCTAAAATGCTCAAAAAAAAAAAACAAACAAACAAAATTGTTGGAAAACATAGTTCATTATTTATAGTAATTTTTGGTAGTATAAAATGGAGAACAATTTTATTTTAATAATTTACCTACTATAGGTAAGTACCTACTTAAATAATTTTTTTTTTTTTGAAAACTGTATTAGACGAGTTAAAAAAATATATTTTGGGTATAAAGATGGGCCTCCAAAATAAATGGGCCACGGGACCATCCCCCCCCATAATCTGGGCTTGCATAAGGTTCGTATTAAATACGAAGAACATGTGAAATATCAATGATGAAATATGAAATATTAAAAAATATTATAAAATTAAATATTCAATTACTATATATATATTGGTGACGAGTGTGCATCTGAGGCTCACAATAATCGAGAAAAGGGCAACGAATTTTGTCTTACTTGAAGTGATGATACTCGCAAATCCTTATATGTACATATGTACAATTTACCATATAGGTATATATATATAAAAAACCAGGATTGTTATGTACCAATTTTCTGACGACACTATTGAACTTTTTTCCAATTTTTTTTCAAAAATTTGTTTCAAATACTTTCTTGTGTGTCATCACGTCGCTCGATTTTTTATTTTCTGTATGTGGGAGGAGAAGAGGGGGCGTACTGTATTTAAAAGCTCCGGTTTTTTTAGCGTATCATTTAAATAATTTATAAATTTTTTTTTTCACAGAATTGTTCCAAATAAGTTCAATTGTGTCGCCAGAAAATTGGTATACATAAAAAGGCCTGTTCTTTTATATATATATAAGGATACAATAATCTGTAACCTTTATATATTTATAAGGATACTTATCAAAAACTCTATTTGTAGAAAATTAATTTTTGGTAAGGTCCGGGTGCCTGATGACCAGGATATGATTTTAAGAAACTATAATCAAGAAAATTGTTTAATCAATAATGTTTCTAAAACATACTTAATATCATCAACTACAAATATACTGATGACTATAGGAAACACTATGGATATTCATTTTAGTTAATAATTAATTATGGCTGTACAATTATATACCTCATAATATATTCTTTGTTATATAATTGCATGTAAATTGTATATGATTCGTACCTAGTTTTATTGTATCTGTGTCTCTACACAATTTTATATACCTATATTGTTTTGTAAATGGAGTTTTTTCCGTCAATAAAGATAATAATAATAATATTATAATATAATTTAGTTTCAACTATTATTATAAGGATTAGTTAAAATGTATTGTCTTTATGACTTTATCTATTATCGAGATACGCCGATATACGTAGCACCGCATTTTAGGTGTGTTCATTTTTTCTCGGGCTTAGTCGGGTGATACAGCTAGTATAATATATATAAGTAAAAGAGTAAGACTCTATTCGGCAGATGCCGAAATGTTATAGCACTGATTAACACGTTGGTACCTATCTATATACAGTAAATACCCTAAATTGGTTTGATCAAGAATCATGAGTATAAAAAAGGAACTTTCTATATTGTATTATATTTACTTTAGTAAGGCAGTACCCGCTTATACCTATCGACAAAATCTACTACCTCGACAGCGTATAAATTCACGACCGTCGTCAGTCGATCAGCGGGTCTCACGACAAAAAGCAATAATGTCAGCTTGTCCCAAACGGCATCATGGTTTACCGTGTGGTACTATCGTAAACACCTCGCAATGCACGTACGCATTGATTTATGGAACCGCCTAAGTCTCAGAAAAAAGCAATAATGGGCCGGCCATTTTTTCTATTGCGTTCGCCGTGTGATATACATTAAACGTTATATTATATGTGAGTCATAACCTGCAGAGCACCGAAATACTAGCAAAACGAGTTTTGTACTCATGCATTGTGTAGTCTCATAATTTCTAGTTCGACAAAACGCGTAACTGAGGATTAAGCAAGCTGAGGGTGGCAACAATTTACATGTCAGCTATTTTGTTAACATGAATTATAAAGGGAAACAGACATATTTATAATTTATATCATATTCATACAATTAAACACGTATGATTAAATTAATAATTTCAATAATAATACAAAGTAAAAATTCTTACGGGGGTATAGATCCAAAATATTGCAATAACCGTCGATAATCTTCAAGCTTAGCTCGTTCTCTTCGTGGAGTAGAGGGAAACGTAACTACAGGCGCCCCTCGCTTGTCTCGACCACCAGTGAGGAATGCGATCTTCTCTTGAAGAAGGCCCATCACTTCTAGAGCTCGAACACTATCCATAGTTAACCTTAAAAAATAAAACAAACTAATATTTTTACTCAATTTTCTATATGTTATCATTGATTTTCTATATTAATTATTATAGTATATATGTATCAATATAATATAATATAATTGATTCAATTTATAATAATTTAATTTAAACTTTATTTTAATAAACATATTTACAAGTCATATTTGATGCTAACAATAAAATACTGAACTGAATTCAGAAAGTTATGAATTAATGTTAAAGTTACAAAAAGTACAATCTGGAAACTGTTGAATTGTTTAATTGAATAACAATAAAAAAAAAGCTGAATAGAACGCAACATAAAACAAACTCCCGTACCCATTGTCCTATTGAAACTACTATTCAAATTAAATTGGCTTGAAGTATAAATATATGCATTTCGTCTCGTGCACAAATTATACTTAGTTTTCAACATCAATGAATCGTGATCAGGAGTGAAAACCACCAATATAATGAACATAACCGTATTATGATTGTTATTGTTCGTGGTATTTTTAACTAAAATAAAATATGAAGTAAATGTAGCTAAGTTAGTTCAATGGCTTTAAAAATATACATAATACATAGATACTAAACGATCACATATATTACACTAAGTTAATAATTATTTTACAGCTTATAACATCACTCTAAAGATTTTTTTAATAAAACAAATATTAATGATAAATAATAAACTTCACAAAAAAAATTACCAGACTAAAAGCTTCAATTCATTTTTAAAAATAAAACATTAAACCATTGATTATAAATTATAATCAATGATTGAACGGTTACAATCACTGTCGTGGCTAGGTGTCGCGACTATATAAACACCAAATTGTTTCTTAATTTTTATACAACGAAAGCTACACCTGAAAACACAAATTTGAACTACCAATAATACTAAATAATAATAAATGTATTTAGTCCTCAATTAAATTTGTACATGTATAATAAAGTACCTAAGTAATATAATAAATTATTGAATTGGTTTAATACCGATACCTATAATAATATGTAAAAATAAATAGGTACTATATTTAGGAATAAAATCATAACATAACCTATTACAGTATTAGCCATACTTTATTAATGTTAACGCAGACAAGAAATGCAAATGACTGCAGCATTGTAAACGGCTGTATTAGTTAACATTTGTAACTTTATACAGCAATAAAAATACGATGTACTATATCATAATCGAATACACAAATCTAAATATAGAAATACTTTCTACATTTCAAGAAGACAGAATTTATATTCAATAACCATTAATCATATACATGTGGATTTTTATAGAAAATACTGCATAAAAAAACATCTCGGAGATGCTTTCAATGTGATATATAAGCGAATAATATAAAGTTGGGTATAAAGTACTTTATACTTATTACTTATACGCTTAATGTATGTAATACCTTTTTCTTTAATTACTATGCATCGGTCATCTACCTAATGTTTATATAGTAGATAAATCTCAAATCTCTGTATATAATAATAAAATATTTTAATACTCCATAATATGATGGTGTTCTCATGGACCGATAAATAAATAGGTATTCCAATAGTTTTTGCTCTTCTCAAAGACTTGGCGAGCGCACAATCATCCGCAGTAGGTAATATTAGAAATAAATGATATCGTCATATCAGATTTATAAACCATTATTTGTGGCAACACAATAATATTAAATTATATATTATACCATGCCTTAATCATATACATAATATACAAGGTGATTTTAACACGCTTATTCCCCAGTCATTTGTTATTTTCGATTTATAAATTCTAAATTCTAAATCGAATATTTTATTTAACGCCGTTTAAAATTATCCGAGGCTTTACTATACTTGCACTTGCCCAAACTTCAAATGCAAATAACAATGATAATACATTTTACTATTTGATATATTTTATATACATAAAATGTTGCCTATGTTTCAAAACAAGAATAATTTACTGATTAAAGTAGGTGCTATTAACATTTAAATAATTTAAATCAAAACCTGCAGAGAAACCACAAGTGTCTATTCAAAAAGTTACCCTGTATAGTACATAATAAAATAAGAATATACTATATAATATTATAATACACTGTGTCGATCTGGCGATGTCGTCATGATTATTATTCGTATCGATTCTAGGTATTCGGCAGTGGTCGTACAGGTTTTTTATTATTATTATTTTTATTGGGTACACAGAAAACAATGCCTTTTGCGTAATTTATAGCGTATGGTATTATATGTGCAGCCAGCACGCACAGACGACGGACCCGATGGCGGTTGCTGCTGCACAGCTCCACGACCAAACCGAACGCGATATCGAACCCCGCCAACCGCCCGCGGCGCACGTACGTTTTTATACCGCCACTATGCCACCGCCGCAGTTGGTTTTCGTCTCATCTTTTATTTTTTATTTTTTTTTTAATTAATTAATCACGTACATATAACAGACGACGGTCCCCCGCAGACTATATATAATAATACTATTATGTTCTCGTGTATTCTCGATATCACACAGTGGATGGCGGTTATCGACGGCTGCCGTAGGTCTAGAGTAGAAATGACCAATCATACGACCAAACAGTATTCAGGAATCTCTGAATTTCTAACAAGTGGCACACCATGAATAAAAAATCTTTACATCAATCCAAAGCTTGCGCTAACGTGCAGTTCTATAAGCACAATAATATCATGAAATGCAGCTATCTAACTACAAATGTATGCAAAACGCCTACAATTCACCTACGTTATTTAAAAATATATATACATTTTTTTAATAATAACGTGAATCGTTCAGTATTTAAATTTAAAAACTATACTCAGTATATTATGCCAATAAGTTATATAATCAACTTCTCAAGTTATATACTTTTATCAACAGCAAAGGTTCAAAAATAATTCGTGCAGTTCAGACATTTTGTTAGCGGAAGCTCCGTTAGAATTGTCCACAATAAGTAATACATAATTCGTAAATACAGTATAGCCGTCATTGCGTCAATTGTAATAATAAATAATATAATACATTATGTATAGGTACTACAGAATACTACACCTACGCACTCGTTCACCGTACTCGACTCTTTGAAATATCATTTGTATTCATTAAATTTACGATATCATTACGACGAAGAATAATCTGAGTGTTGTGTAAAGAATACATTATATATTTCATGCTGTAAACCTTGTATAATAAAGTAACGATTTATTTAAGCGGTCGAAAACTTGTTTACAAAATCGATTACTCCGACCATCAATAGGAACAGAAAGTTTAACAAGTTAAAATATGAAATAAAAACGTATTGCGGTAACTATTCAACCATCGCCGTTCGAAGAAATAAGAAGCTTATAAGTAATCAATCGTTTCTATAGTATTTTGACGACCTCCACATTCTATTCATTGCAATTTTCAGTTGATTGCACTATTGTAAAAAATATACATACCTACCTACCTCTTCATAAACTAAAACAGTATTTGATCACATTTTGAAAAATAAAAAAATGTAGGTCATAATAATGTCAGCTTCAAAATAATATTTTAATCATGGTTAAAATATTCAGGTTATTGCATATCGACTCGGATTGTTATCATCAGTAACAAAATGGCTGCGTAAAAGGATATCACAAATATCATTTTTTCTTATCATCAAAAATAAGTTAACAAATTCAAAATTCCGAGCATACTTACTTGATTATTATTGGCTCTCTTTACGCTGCCATTTTTGTTTTTATCATAAAATATTTGATTGAGAAGGGGTATATGTGCAATAACCTTGTATATTTCAACCATGATTTTAATTATTAAAATATTAAATACATATGAAATTCAAAGTTTTGTATTTTTAAAAAGTTTTTATAGTTCTAAACTTCTAAATTAAGAGATCTAATCATATAAAATTAAAACAATATTTTAATAACTTACTAACAAAACTAATGAGTATTATGTAAATAGTATTTGAATAATACACATTTCTATAGATAAATATTTTTAAAAATCAGAGGAAGTCACTCTGCCATAATAAGGAGGTTTCGATGAGTGTTCACTGAGTGTTCACTGAGTAACAATGAAGAGTAAAATTAAAATTCAATATTTGGATACGTTGTGTACGAAAAATAATTTTGAGTGGAGACTGTCAGCACCTATTAAATTAAATATTTTAGGATGCTAAACACCCCCAGCCACTACAAGTTGCACCTATAGTTATTACTTATTAGTTATTATCTATTAACTAATAACTTATTAAGCCAAATTTCGATATCGACGTACAGAACGGTATACGGTATACGAGTATATAGGTTGGTAAACCCTTAATATTATACATAGTTTAATATTAGTCTAAATATATTTTGAAAATGTCATTGTGTATAGAAAATAAAATAGTTAAATCTATAAGAATTATATAATTGTAAAAAGTTTCAAATTATCACGATTAATATGTTTTGTATAATTTATTAAAATAAAATAACTAATTTTTTAAGAAGAAAGATTTCTTTTCGTTCAAATATTATGTTGTCAACATTTTAATTTTAAATGTCAATAAAAAAGAATAGTATTGAAATTGTATTGATGACTATAAGAATAATCAATAACCTTAAAATAAATGTTTAAGCCAAGGCTATTAAAATTGAAAATTATTTTAATTTATAATTTAATTTAATAAGTTTCAAATGTTCGAGGTTTTGACAAATTTTGTTAAGGGGCCTGGTCGCGATTTTTCAAATTTTCCGCAATTCTATAAAATTTGAAAATTAAATTTTATATTTTAGTTGCCACCTCAATTATAAGACTTTTCCACTAATCTACTACCCAATACCTATTAGGGGGGGGGGGGGTTGATAGGGTGTATTATATCGGTCAAAACACAGTTTACAGGAAAAACTCTCACACCTCGTAGATTGGTCCGATTTCCGTAAATTTTTTTTTGTTAGATAGAAGAATATTTTTTACAGGGCGCATTGGACTTTGATTTTTGATTACATTGCTAAAAATAAATAAGAATACAAAAACTAA